GCCCATGCTGTCGTCCACCCCCAGGGCTCCAAGGGCATCCCCATCCGAGTCTTCAACCCTGGGTCTGTACCTGTTACCTTGAAGAGAGGGGCGGTGGCAGGCATTCTCCAGCCAGCTGAGGTGGTGGGCACCCTGGAGCCTCCACCTTCCATGTGCCCGTCCAAGCCGGGGCCACTTAACTCTTTCTGTCCCTTCCCATTTACAGGTGCTGTATGCTGAAAGCTGCTCCAGCCTGACGGAGAGGGATCGCCACCAGCTCGCCCTGCTACTGCAGTCATATGGGGATGTCTTCTCCACCGGTCCCACTGATCTCGGCCGCACCAGCATCGTGCAGCATGACATCCAGACAACGCCGGGGCCCCCTGTTAAGCAGCCTCCACGCAGAATGGCCACCGAGAAACAGTCTGCTGCCAATCAGCAACTTCAGCAGAGCCTCGATGCAGGGGTGGCACAGCCTAGCAACAGTAGTTGGGCTGCACCTATCGTGATGGTGAAGAAGAAGGACCAGACCCCTCGGCTGTGCGTGGACTACAGGCCTTTGAATGAAAGGACCATTAAGGACGCATACCCACTCCCGCGCATCCAGGACACCCTCGACACTCTGTCCACTGCCAGGTACTTTAGTACACTCGACTTGACTTCAGGGTACTGGCAGGTCGAGATGACGCCCAGGGCCCGCAAAGCAGCTGCCTTCTGTACACGTAAGGGCCTTTTTGAATGGAACGTGATGCCCTTTGGACTGTGTAATGCTCCGGCGACCTTCCAAAGACTTATGGACCGGGTGTTGGTGGGACTGCAGTGGGAGACTTGTCTAGTGTATTTAGATGACATAGTGGTCCTGGGGCGAGACACCTCACAGATGTTGGAGCGGTTAGAGCAGGTTTTCACTCGACTGAGGCAGGCAAACCTTAAACTTAAACCGTCAAAGTGCTGTTTGTTTCGGGAGGAGGTGGCCTACTTGGGACATATTGTTTCTGCCAATGGCATTGCCACTGACCCCCAAAAGACTGAGAGAGTGAGGGACTGGCCTACACCTAAAAACGTGACTGAAGTTAGACAGTTTGTAGGTTTAGCTTCCTACTACAGGCGCTTTGTTCCGGACTTTGCGACCATAGCCCAGCCCCTACATGAACTGACCAAGAAATATGCTCGCTTTAACTGGACTACCTCATGCCAGCGAGCATTCACTGAACTGAAGAGACTGCTGACATCTGCACCTATCCTAGGCTACCCCCTTGATAGAGGGGAAATGTTTCTGGACACTGACGCTAGTGACTGCGGGATTGGGGCTGTCCTCTCCCAGGTGCAAGCGGGTGTGGAGAGAGTGTTAGCCTATGGGAGCAGGCGGTTGTCGGTGGTAGAACAAAACTACTGTACCACTCGTAGAGAACTTTTAGCAGTGGTAGATTTCACTTCTCATTTTAGACAGTATTTACTGGGTCGTTCCTTCACAGTTCGCACTGATCACAGCAGTCTGCGCTGGCTGACTCGCCTTAGAGAACCCGAGGGTCAGTTGGCACGCTGGTTAGAGAAACTGGCCGAATATGACTTTACCGTTGTCCATCGCCCAGGCAAGATCCACCAAAATGCAGACGCACTGTCTAGGCGGCCATGCCGTGAGTCCTGCCCTTGCACAATACAAGACCCGGAGAGTGGCAACCTGTGCCAGGACAAGGCGGTGCAGTGTGACCCATTTGGGTTTTCGGAAGTTGTACCATCCATCATACGGCAGACTCTAGTGGGGGTGGTGGGGTCTGAGCCTGAGTTTCCTATAGTGGGGGTAGGAGACACTCATAACAGAGTTGACACACGTCCCCGTATTCACAGAGTGGGCGGCTCTCTACAACCTAGTCTGTTTCAGGGCTGGACATTAGAGCAACTGAGCACTGCTCAAAAGACTGACCCAGACATTGCACCAGTTTGGCAGTGGGTAGACAGTGGGGGGAACCGTCCATCCTGATCCACCATATCCGCCTGCAGCCCAGCCACTAAGGCCTGCTGGTCACAGTGGAAAAGACTTTATTTAAAAGATGGAGTGTTAATGAGGAAGTTTTTCTGTGTTGAAGGTACGACGTTCTTCCCACAGGTCCTCCTGCCCTACAAGTTACGCACAGCAGTGATGGAGCAGATGCACGATGGTCCAGTTGGGGGCCATTTTGGGGGGGAAAGGACACTGGCACGCGTAAAGACCAGGTATTACTGGTACAACATGAAGGACGATGTAACCCTATGGTGCCGCACCTGCTCCAGCTGTGCTGCTAGAGCACGGCCAAAGAAGACACCACAGGCAGCCATGGGCACAGTGCGGGTTGGAGCTCCCATGGAGAGAATAGCAGTTGACCTCATGGGACCTTTGAACGAGACAGATAGACATAACCGCTACATAGTGGTGGTGCAGGACTATTTTTAGCAAGTGGGTGGAAGCCTATCCCGTTCCTAATGAGCAAGCAGTCACAGTTGCAGAGAAGATTGTGTCGGAGTGGGTGTGCAGATATGGGGCCCCCCACACTTTACACAGTGATCAGGGCACAAATTTTGAGTCTGCTGTATTCCAAAGCATGTATGAACTATTGGGCATTGAAAAAACTCGTACCACTCCGTTCCACCCGCAGTCAGATGGGCAGGTGGAACGCTTTAATGCTACTCTGCAGAAAACACTAGCCGCTACCGCAGAAAGGTGCCATTGGGACTGGGATTTGATGCTCCCCTTTGCGGTTATGGCCTATCGCTCCACCAGGCACAACTCTACCGGACTGACCCCTAACATGGTGTTGTTTGGCAGAGAAATCACTGAACCAGTGGACTTAGTGGCCGGGTTTCCCCCGAATGACACTGGTGCCAGTTCGCTACCGGAATATGTTCTAAAGCTCAGAGAGCAGCTGGAGCTTTCTCACCGGCTTGCACGAGAAGCTCTGGGGAAAGCCTCTGAGCGAGCAAAGAGACAATATGACAAAAACATTTGCCAGACTCAGTACCCTGTTGGTACTGCGGTGTGGCATTTGATTAAAGGTACAAAGCCAGTAAGGAACAAGGTACGAAAGTTCCTTCCCGCTTATGAGGGCCCGTATTTTATTGTGGGTCATCTGGATGACTTGGTGTACCAAATCCAGAAGGGGCCACGGTCAAAAGTGAAAGTGGTACACCACGACAAACTTAAGCCCTTCCACTCCAGAACCCTGCTTGATAATAGCTGGGTTTTCCAGAGGTCTGACTCATCGGTGCCTCGTGAGGTGGTACCGCCGTCTCTTGATGAAGATTCTGATCTTGAATTTGGCCCTCTCCAGCTGTGGGACGATTCTTCTGATGCTGAGGACCTGGCCGTGGTTTCCGGAGGGGACACCGAGGCTCCATCACCTGTTCTACAACTCACTGACTCTTCTCCTCCTCCAGCTAGCTCTGCACGGCCATCATGGGATGACAGCACTCAGCTACCTACCTCGGGTGGAAGGGGGTGTCATCCTGCCATCTCTACACCGCAACAGAGACTGCGCAGGACTCGGAGAGCACCCAACAAGTTTGGTGACTGGATAAGTCACTAGACATGGCCATTGTTGCCTGAGTTAGGGTGTAGGCGGATCGCTGCCCTTCTCAGAGAGAAGAAAAAAAAAAAAAAAAGTTCTGCTTATGTATTCTGCCTGTTAATGCTGCCATTGTTGCACATTTGCCCTGTTGGCTAGCCTGTTGTGTTAAAAGGGTTCTTGTGAGTAGGAGACAGTGACTGTTTATGTAGACTACATGTTGCATTGTTTTGGGTTTTTTTTTACTTTGGGAGATTTCTATGCACTCAACATTAATTGAAAAAAAAAGTGTATGTCTAATTTGTGTTACTGCATGCCAATGTTGTGCTGGAGTGATATTAAGATTTTCTTTTACTATCATCCAGAGTGGGGGTAGTGTTACCAGCCTGGCTGGTCCCTTTAAGAGCAAGGTGTTGTGGGTAGCTCTGGACTGTTTTGTTCTGTATCTTGGCGCGAGGCGCCCTCTTCTGTTGCGGCCGCCAGACAGCACGGCCACTGTATTTTTGCCGCTCCTGTTTAAATTTGTAAAATAAATTTCGTGTTGCTAACGAGTCAAATGCCTGTTCAGCCTCTGTACTACGGTTAGGAGATTACTGGGCAGGGGAAGAAAGTAACATAATGGATAATGCGTTGTCATCATCTGCACCTCCGAAATTTATATATATAAAGTATATATCGAGAAATAATGTGTTTAATGCAGCTTTGCGCATGTGTTTACGTTTTACAGAAACTAAACTTAAAACCGCATGGCTAACTTACATAAACTAAGCGCTCATAAAACAGCTCGCTCCTGGTACGCGGTCAGCTTCTGTCGGACTTAAAAAGGACACGACTCAGTGGAATATGCGTGTTCTTTCTGTGACAGAGGGATATTGTACTAATGGTGTGTCTGTTCTGTGCTTTTATCGCGTTAGAGATGGTTCATGTTAAACCTTTCAGAGTCTGCGGGTCATACATACAGACCGTATATATGGACAGATATCGTCGCCCCCTGGCGTTTTGGCAGTGAATTACTTCACGGTACACAGACCTCGACGCAGATCCAAAAAATCAAAAACGACGGCGACAAGGCGACGGTGGGAGTGCGCGTTGAGTCGACGCAGAACTATACTTCACACTTTACTACGTCAAGAATTACAATCAGGAAATGAAAATTTACGATTACGCTTTCATCAGTACGAATACGAATTCACAGACGGGAATAGAGGTGCAATTTCCCTTTCAGAGGAGGTGTTTCTACACAATATTACACAGTAGCGTTCGGTTCCCGAATTCAATGTGGCAAGACAAGACATTTTTACAATAAATTTGATTTAAACCACTTGTTGGTCAGCTGTTGTAGCTCCTTGTTGTGCCATTACTCCGTTTTTACCCCCTGCTACAAACTTAAGCATGCGCAGTCTTGATCTTGATCCAAGTTTCTTGTGCTCGATAAATAATGCCTCTGAAGTGATGACGTATTTTTGACAGTAAAGTCCCGTCTGTGAATTCGTATTCGTACTGATGAAAGCGTAATCGTAAATTTTCATTTCGTGATTGTAATTCTTGACGTCGTAACTTTTCAGTTCGTATTCTGATGGATAAAATACACACAATCTATTTTATGTACAACTGGACACATTTGAGAGTTTACAAATACTTATTTTATGCGCAACTACAGCCAAATATGCATGGATTTCCCAAATACGCACGGATTTCTATTTTATGCGCACGAATATTTTTGAAAGCTTTCTTACTCCATTAGACACACTTGTCATGCAGCAACCACAGCAGGGAGAGGAGGCAGCTCTACAAGGAGCTAGCGGATCTGGAACCTTCTCGCTCAAATCTATTTTTTCGTCTGATAATAGTCTAGTGGATTTAGCTTTGTTAAACTTTCTCCGCCCCTCCAGCCTTTATCTGAGAATTGTATATCTTTTAACGACGGTAGAGGGCAGCATTGCGCACTTGCCTTGTTATTTTAATAGATCCATGACTCTTGCCTGTAAGCTAGCTAAATGAGCTAAACTGAAGAGCCGTTCTATGTTACTGCCAAGGATCTTTTAACAGGGTAATGGAGCGGAGGTCGGAGGATCATATCTGAGTGATCCACATTAGCTTCTTTTTCTTACGCGAGAAATATTCTAAACTGTAATTTTACGTTAATATATTCAGGCATTGTTCTTTCCTCGTGCATTAGTCCAAAAGTCTTGACCAAGGCTATTACTAAGGTAGGGTACTCTATTGTTCAATTCTTCTTAAAAGTTCTTTAAACTAACTACTTTTTAAAATGTTTGCACCAGTTTTACTCTCCTTGCAGCATTAATATGCCCCAGCATGGACTTTGTCCACCACCACCATGTCCACCGCCACGACCTCTTTTGCTTGCTGGTAGTACGCAGCCACATACAGGCCGCATATATAAGAGAAAGCTCTATCAAATTATCGCCAGCAGCATGACTCCAGTAGAGGGTGACTACACCGAGGCACGCAAACTGCTCGGGCAGCAGCAGGACAGGTAAATGAAAATTACCCATTAACGTGTATTTTACAGTACAAAAGATGGTTGTTGTTGTTGTTGTTGTTGTTTGTTATTTTTTCTTTTTGTTTCAAGATTTAGGACTGATCTTATGTGGGTTTTAATGAACACTTACGTGCCTTCCCTCATACAAGATGGTCCTCAGTGAGTTTGTCATCTTGATCTTGTTATAGCCTAGTAGTAAGCCTACAACATAAAGTGTGCATAAACAAAGCATTTGAATGATCAAATTGACAATTGTTTTTCAGTCCTTTTCTGATGCAGTTGTACCTATATGGTGAATGTATTTGAGTATATTTTTATTTTATCTTGAAGGTGTGGCTTGGTGGCACTGTGGATGGCTGCACACCTCCGCCAGCCTCAGCTCAATCTTGACATAGAGACTGTTACACAGACAGCTCTGAGCAAAGGATACACTGCTCAAGGAGAACTTTTTTCAGGTAACTTCATGCAATGCATTATGCAGTTATTTTACAGTATTCCCAGTAACATGTTTATCTGTTCTCATATATTAGCTCAAAATATGGCACTGTTGGCAGAAGAGATTTGTTGCTGCAAGGCTCAATTGCTGTCAGGTGGTTTACGAGATGACAACGCATTATCCATTATAAAACACCTGTGGGATCGACAGCCTGTTCTCATACCGTATCCTACTTTGCAACTGCATGTTGTTTGGTAGAATAGAATAAGTCATACAGAAATAAAACAACCTTTAACTGAAAACTCAGCTATGATGAGGATTTTAACCACGCACCATGTATGCGAAGTGGCCACAAGGCACATTGGGCTGTTGTATCAGGTTAGTGGGATTATGTTGTCATTTTTATTACTGGTATTATGAGTGCAAAGTATATGCCTTTTTATTATTTAGGTGTTCTTCTTGGATTGGACCGTGGGAGCCTAAATCAACAGCATGTTGAGCCTGACCCATCTTTGCCTTGGCTATACCTGCCTACTGATGCCTCTCCATGTCCCCTGAGCAGTTCCCCGCCCAGAGAGGTTTACTTATTGGCCAAGCATGGCAAGAGCTTCCGTTACCAGATCTGGAGTTTAGACTGCATAGCTGAGAGCAATGAGCAACTTAGAGAGATGGACCCCCAAAGAAGTAATAATGGGCTCTACTATGTGTTACCTGAGGGAGGGGTAGAGGCAGGATTATCGGGCCAAGCAGTGTTGCTTCATACAAGGTCACTGAAAGAATAATGACTGAAGAATATTGCAGAAGTGTGTCTGAATCTAAAAATTAATGTACTGAATGTACTGTATTCTGCCACATGTTACCTGCAACCCTGTTATTTATAACCTGTGAATTTATTTGAGAACAGTCAAAATTACATTATAGTAAAATATTTTTGTTTCAGTTTGTTAATTCAGTGTTCAGTGTTTTGGCTCATCAAGCAAAGTAATTTAAACTCTGTAAACCTACGTTCTGCAACCGAATCAAACAAAAGGAAATTGAGTGATAAATAAAAAATATGTAAATGTTTACAGAAAATTTGAACCATTCAAATAATTGATTAAATTATGTCAGTTTTCCAGTTTTAATTTCCAGTTAATACAAAAGGATGAAACTTCACAAGTTGAATGCAGGCTTTAATCAGCTCATTCACTTTGAATACAAACTTTTCACCACTTCAATCCCAGCTAAATGAAAAACATTGATCAAAAGCTGACCATGTTCATTACTGTGCTTTAGTTTGTGTGTAAACCCAAGACTGCTCACAATCAATACACACAGAGGCACTACTTGTTTGTTCAATGGCTTTGTCAAGATCCATTGTGCAACAGCTTTCAAGCTAAGACAGAATCTTGTAAATCTGTATACAGCTGCGTTAACAAAAAAAATCTAATTAACTAGCATAAAAACACATTCAATTGACAGCTGTAGAGACACGTTGGGATACTGTGTTTTCTTTAAACTTGAGTGAACTTTGATTTTAAAAAAAGCAACAACAGTTCACAGCAATGGAATGAATCTTAAAAATGATAGGCACAGAAATTGTACAAACAAGTTCAACAAGCCAAATAATTACTTAAATAAATCTGTATTTACATATTATGTAACACATGGTCTTGCCAATGTTTTAGTGTTAAAGTGGTTTATGACAAAAATAAGTTCATAAATGTCACTGGAAAAACACTGTTCCTCACAAGTTTGTTCATTATCAAAACAACTGCGGTAATGATGAGGTGATTGAAGAATTCTTTCTCATTCCCAGATCAAAGGTTAGGCAACATTCCTCTGCATATTCAAGTTTATGTCTCAAGGCTGCCTGGCCTCCAGTAGAATAAAAAAGTCCTTTGGCATATTCCAGTATTATAAAGCAATATAAAGTGTGCCCATTGTGCTTCTTATAATTTAAGTTAATAAAGATATTTAATTGTTTTGGATTGTCCGCTGATTTTGAGGAAATATTGCCTGCATCAGTCCTCCATAGAAAGATCAGTGGTACTTTCCTCCTCTCGGTTTGGTGAAAGCATAGTGCGAAAGATATCAATAAGATTATCCAGTCCCCAAAGGTAGCCATCTTCCCTGTTGCCTTCGACCCACGGTGTGCGGTGGTCCAGGGTCTGTTGATCTGTAAGAGGAACAGTCTTCCCAAAGTCAATCATCCACACTCGAGCCTTCACTGACGCGTCATGTACAAACAGTAAAGAGCTCCCTACAACCTTGAATAGAGAAATAAAATTGGCAAATTGTCAATGATTTTTTTCAAAGAATGCAATATTTTTAGTCTGAAAGGTGAAAATGGGTTTACCTCATGAGTCCTGAAGAAGCACGATTTTTCTAGTACTGATCTCAGCTCCTCTAATTGGTGCAGGTAAAGCTTCTACATAAAATAATAAACAAATAGTTACTGTGGCTGCTTCCTAATAGTTTCAAATATAGCCTAGGTAACAAGTGGATGTCAAGTATTAGCTATATTATACACACAGTCACAATAAAGATAAAAACACACCAAAATGTGATTGTTTCCTTCAACAAAGTCCCCCAAAGCCTTCATCACTTGCTCCTTCTGCTTCGTCTTCTTGAAATTAGTGTTGCAAGTTCCATCAGCTTTCTGTGAATCATAAATCATTATCATTATTTGATGCACTTATGTCAAATTATGCAATCATATCCTTTATATCAACAACACACTTCAGCCAAGTCACTAATTTGACTGCTCAAACTTGTCAGACTGGAAATGAGAGCCAAATATGCGTATGTCATATTTTCCAATCTGATTGTATGCAAACCAAATCTCTTTAGATAAAAAAGAACAATTGAACACAAATAAAAGTAGAGTCCATCAGGGAAGAATAGAAACAAAAAAGTATTTTCAATCCAACATGTCCTCCAAATAAGTGAACCTAAATGTAACGAGTTTTTGTCCCAATAACATGATTTGTATGAAAGCTGGCCATTTAACAAAGTTTTTGTTATAGAAATAGATATCATTGTTATTGGGTAATGGTATTTTGTGGATGACTGCACACTTCTGCCAGCGTCATTGTGAATGAATAATTGTGAAGGAAAATCTTGGTGTTCCTTCACAATTAAGGGGCCCATATTATGCCGTTTTCTGATCTATGTTATAATGCTTCCTCATCACAAAGATACCTGGGGTTATGTTTGGTTTCATTCACACATGTTTAACACACAAACCCTACACCTTACAGTGCTCCACTGTGTTTTAGACTCTATATACCTTCACTAGAATAATTTGGATCATTTCAGCCCTGGACTTGCCAATCTCTAATGAATTTAAGGTAGAAGGTAGCTGTTAATTTGAAAACTACCCCTACATGACATCACAAGAGGAAACAGAGCCTTTTGAGCTTTGAAAATGTAAACAGATTAAAAAGCCAGTATTACTTAAACAGGAGGTAACAATATTATAATGGCTTAAAGCTCACAAGAGTCAATTTTAACTAACATAGGACCTTTAATCTTATCTAATATTAACATTAAATTTGATATTATACTTGTCAATCAAACACCTGTCAGAAATGGATCATGTCCTCAGTCACAGTGAAATTGGTATGTAGTCGATTAAAGAGATTCGCAACTTGACATGACATGTCCTGTTGATGGATTAGTCGACCAAAAAGAGGGTGTGACAAAAAAAATCTAAACTATTACTCTATGTATCTGACCCAAAACTGCACTCACAAGACTAAACCTACATGGGAGTTCAGCAAGAGAAAGGTTCACACCTTGATGCCCTCTATGCGGAAGCCTAGAGTGGCCGTGGAACTCAGGGTCTCTCTCCACTGCATGTATCGAGGTTTGAGGACCCCCTGCTGTGCTCGCTCCTGCTCAGTGGGAGCCTCTGGATCCACAGCAACCATCTTCTCAAACATGTCCTTCCTCAAACGTGGACGCTCTCGTGCTTTTGACAGCTCCTCCTCCAGATATGTTCTGACAAATATTTATATATATATTCTATAATCTGAACTTTTAGACATTGTAATCTTTTATATTTTTAATAACTGTAAAAATTTATTTACCTGCTGCCCATTTTACAGTCCATGATTGAAGGGGATTCAAAATCAGCCAGGAGGTCATCCATCACGTTATATTCCTGATCATCTTTCTTCACCACACCATAATACCCAGGAACATACGGCTGGAGGACATCTTCCTTGAGCTTTTGTAAACACTGCTGCTCACATTCACAATATCGTTTCAAGACCCGACCATAGTCTCCTGCCTGGAAGTTACCTGAAGCAGACAGAGTCAAACTATAACAATGTACATGAAACATGTAGGTGTAGTAGGCTTAAATGCATACCTGCATGGCCTGCGAGCTGCACCCATGGGTAACGCTTCTTGAAGGACACAACAAAGGGGGACCAGTGAACCATGGTCTTCAACTTCTGCCAGGACTTATTCTGGAAATATGCAAATATGAAACATGTCAGTCCTTTCAAAAGCAGCTGGTAAACAGTGATCTTTATTGTATTTTTAAAATTTTTAATAAAGAGTTTAATTCCAACCATTGGAGTAATTTTTCATTACAGAGAAACACTCCCTTAAGGGACCACATTTTCACACACACTTCAGTAGACATTGGTCAGGTCCTCCCCTTTGCCAAGGCCAGGTACACAGTACGTGACAAAGCCCATTCATAAAACATTTACTAAAGCTACCCATGTGGGAGTCGTAAAACAGACCCATACTGTCTCTGTACTGTGTGTGTACGTGTGTGTGGCGTTGCATATGTGCGTATGTGTGTACGTGTATGTGCATGTGTGTGTGTGTGTGCGTATGTGTATGTGCTTATGTGTGCATACTGGTTATCTGCATTGGGAAACACCAGAACAAGGACAGTGTGCAAGAGGGCCTTTGACGCAAGCGATTTGAGAAGAACATGACAATGGCTGTGGCTGTTAGGATCCAAGTAGGGCTGCAATTTTGAAAATCTAATTGTGATTTGACTTGCGGTAGCTGAATGTCAGGAGATATTTGCCGAGGTCTATGATTTTGTAAATTATATTATTAGGCACAAAATTTATTTTTAAAAATTCAAAAAGTCTGTTTAAAAAACAGGAAATTATCTTTGACATGTTTTCAGACACATACATTCACTCTTTCATGCCCATGGCACATTAAAAAACAACCTTTAAAACCAACTTAAAAAAAAAAAAAAAAGTTTAAAAAAAAAATTGCAGTCTTGCTATTGCTATTTGCATCCAATTAATGTCATTTATCTCACAGCCCTAGCTACAAGTATGTGCACATCCTGTATAATTGTTAATACACTAATGTCAAATATGCTACAATTACTTTCAATTGGAACGCAACCATTAACCATCCTTGGCCACTGCTCAACCATAATATTATGTAGCTACTAAATGCAAATAATTATTTTCCACAACCACAACAGACTAACACAATAATAAAGGGAGCTTGCTGACACATAGCAAATAATACCAATAATTTCCCTTGTGGATCAATACAGCTTATCAAAGTCTAAGGCACAGTCAATAAATAATGGTAATAAAATACAGGGCCATAATTGTAAAACTCAATCAATTTTATAACAAGAGCAAACACCTGCCCAGCCCTCTTAAGTCATGTTTACATGTGGCCTCTCCCTGTGCACTTCAGTTGCATTCTTTCCACAGCTGAGATGCAATAATAAAATGTCACAACAAAACTGTCTAATTAATGAATGAATGAGGCGTGAATGTAAACTGGAGACTGACAAATCCAATTCTTCAGGCTTATTCTAACATCTTGTGGAAACAGGATTCTTCTTTAGGAAAAAGAAAATGCATACTAAATCAGTCATGGGGCATTATTACCTGAGCTATGAATTACACAATCAATTGTTGTGGTGAACTGGCCATCAAAGTCAGAGTATACTGAATAGTGAATCTAACATAAACATACAGTGGGGTTTTACTTAAAATGGTATAAAGCATCATTTATGGCAGATGTGCCGTAGAGATGCATTAGCAAAAACAATATAAAAAGTAAACAAAAGAGCAGTTGAACATCCCCAAGTTGCTGGGTAACTACTAGGAAATACATTTATTACAGTGTAGTGTAAGAATACTTTTGACTGGGTGCTATGGTTACATTTAGCATCTAAATAGTATTTGCTTCATTAGTTTCTTTGAATGAAACAAAAAATACAGGTGGGGTCCACTTTAAAGTCACAGTAACTCCGATTCATGCTCGTTTGCATTCTATATGCATTTCAGTATTAATACATGGTTAATTATAGTTAAATACTCCATGTCTTTATTCACATCACATAACGATACTGACGGAATAAGTCCTGGGAGATAAACACACACAACTGATTAGGTCATGTGACAATAGATATGGTTTGAAAGGAGCAGCCATGTTGACAAAAGAGCAACAAAAACACATCTTTGCTACTATAGTAGAGGAAAGTTAGAAATTTACCCTGACTCAGATGAATCCACAGTATCGTCACAAATAAATACTTCTCGCAATTTAAACTTAGGATCTCCTGCGTATACTTTTTACTTCCCACAATTTGGAATTACACTCTTTCTTATACAGAGGCACAATACTGTGTCTCACTTCCTGAAGCCACAGAAGCATTTATTCTGGGCTGTCCTTGTCTTCCCATCACCTTTGTCCTCTTGTCTCTCACATCCCCTAAACCCCACAGGGCCTATCCTGAGCCCCATGCAGAGCCATCTGATGCCATATTCATGGCAGACATGCTGTATGGGGGCAGGGACACACACACATGCACGCACACACACACACACACACACACACAGTTTTTCTTTTGTCGACTTAACAAATTCCCCAGTACTTTGTAATCTACAGGGCAGTGTGTGTATGCCAACAAAGCAGAACCTGTCAGACAACAGGTATTGACAGCCCAGCAAATTCATGTAAATACACAGTATTTTCTAGTACTGTCAAAGCTACAGTACATTTAACTTGGTTTATAATACAAACCACATCCTGTTCCACACACTTGAGAAATGATCATCTTCAGCACTGCTTACTGACAAAGAAGACATGGCTTGTAAAATTATCCAAACTCTGCAGTGTTAAAACACAAGAAAGAAGTCCCTTAAGCATGGCTTTATGTTGCCCTGGCTGAAGAAACAACACACAATTGAAAATTGCTGTGTGAGTGATATATGCATTAAAACAAAAATACAACTGTGGTCTTAGAGAATGACTGTTTGTGCTATTATCTGGGGACTTTACATTGAAGCACAAAATGTAGGCCAACATTTAAATCTATTTTAGAACATATACAAGCTTACTGTATGTGTGTGTATTTGTTTATATTGAAAGAGCAAGTTATTTTTTTATTTTAAAGAATATTTGACTGCATTTGTTGTGTTAACACATTAACATATTACAGAGCAGAGGCATGTCAAATACAGATTAAAAAATACTACCACTTATAGTAGAGATGTTGCCAAGCAACCAGTTTTCCATGACACAGAGTGAACTCTGAAAAAGAAGGTATGGCGGCCTCATGTGTGTCTCAGTATGCATGTGTGAGCAAGTATCTACTCACGTCACTCTCATTCAGAAGTAACTGGTTTGGCCAGAAGACACTGTGGCTCTGTTTTCAATACTAAGTACAACAACATACCACACACCCTTTTAAAATGACACTCTACAAATTACAACATTACATAGGATACGATTTACAAACCAGACCAGTTCGTAACAGAAGTTACAGCAAAACACCGTGTTACAAATGTGTAAACGACCACAACGGCTGTTTGTTTGCTGTCTGAGCAAAGTCCTAACAGCAAACATCATTAGGTCACCTCCAAAAGAATAGTTTGACACTACTGATGTACATGTGGGACATTCTGACATTCAGGATTCACACAAACAAAAGGAGGACTGTCTGCAGTGAGGACATTCTGTTTAAAGACATGGTTCATTCCTTGCATTTCAGAGCCTCACATGAGTGACCAAAGCTTCCTATTTGGAAACTTTAAACATTCTTTTCTGGATGAGACAGACCTGGGCAGGGTTCAAACACACGGTCAAACTGAAAATCTGTGAATCACGCTGAGCTGGCAGCTATAATGACATGACTCAGGGCAGGGAAACAGGCTTTTCACTAACACTGTAATTAGGGTTGATAAGCAGCAAAGTAAAGTGGAGCCAGAGGACTAAGTACGTTTGGTGCATGAACAGTTTTAACTAATGATTGGTTACAACATGCAGGTGATTTCCTGCTACAATACTGTCTTTGACCTGTTCTGTTTTGTTGTAACATGCAACAGGTCTTACTCAAGGTTGCCTGAAAGACACTGTTGTGTTTATGTGCGAAGTTGAGATGTTTAATAGACCTAAGTATTTGCCTTCTTATATTATTGGTATAACTATAATGTAATAGCCATACTCACAGTTGATCCATCTTCAGGGCTACACAGAGAAGGGACGCGTCCAGGGGAGAGGCTGGACTCAATATCGCTCCCTGTGAAGTCGTCCTCAGACTCCTCAAATGAAGAGGCAGAGGATAAGCCAAAGGAGGAGGAGTTGGACAGCTTTCTGGGGGAGCGCATCAGGGCAGGGGAGCCTCCACACCCACTGTCCGAGCAGGGAGACTCATCATCAGGCTGAGACTCCGGACAAGCCCTGCTGCTCAGGTGCAGGTTAGCCCCATCCTGTGAACAGCTGGGGGTCGAGTCTCTAGTGATTATGAGTTTTGGTATTGTTCCTAGAAAGCATTGTCCTCCTGGTGAACTTTGGTGGTCAGTTTTATTTTCTGTTTTATCACGTGCCATTGGAGGAAGGCATGAAACCGTAACACTACAGTCTGATTTTGTTATCGTGTCCCAAGAGAGGTCCTTTAAAAGCGTTTCACTAGCCAGAGTTCGCTCAGTCTGAACATGCGAGCCCCTGTCAGAGGAGAGTTGTGTGGAGGGGCTCTCACTCGTACCCGCTATTAGTTCCTTACCCTCACACCCAGCCCGGTCCCGCTGGTCTTCACCCGGCGAATAATTCTCCATGGCTCTGATCGAGGGAAGCGCGGCATTGTTCTCTGGGCAGTCAGCACCACCAACTTCTCCGCTGCGCTTTTCCAAACGTGACGCATCGGAGGAGCCAGCGGCTGCCTCCCGGTTCACTACGCGCTGAACACAAGGCCTGTCTGATGGGTCATACAGGCCTTGGTTTGTGTTATCGGAACCGGGGGCCGATGCGCGTGTCTCAGCGTCAGCCACGAACTCGTCCCTCGATAACTTTCCAACTCGGTGTTCGCTGCTGCGCGGGTTTGTTTCCTCAGCACCTTTTAAATGGTCCAAATCCGTTTCGGTCCAACTCGAGTCCCTCTTTCTCCTTCTCAAACATGACAGAGCTTTGTTTTTCATCGGATATCGTTGCAAGTCTTTATTTTGTCGCTTCCCCTTGCCTCTAAACGTACAGATTCCGAGGCGCTGTGCCGTCTCGCTTGTTTTCCATGTCGCTCTGCCCGTGCTGGACGTGCATTGAGAGAGCTCTGAAGGAGTTTGACCCATCCTGCATTCCGTAGTAGTAATAGCGCCTCAGACACGCCCTTTTGTGGTTGATTTCGAGATTTGTTGAAAGCAATGTGACTTACTGTAATGTATCATAATCCATTAGTCACAGCGTGTGTCCATTTAAGAAGTTAAAGAAATCCTCAATTTGAGCGTTTCCTGTCTTCATATACTGGAAATTAAACAAACACATCAGTCAGTGAGCAACAGTCCAATAAAACATAATGTTCCACAAAGTAAGCTTTACTATTGTTCATGGTGTAATGATTAACAGCAAACAGAGCACAGCCCAGATTGTTTGTGGGTTTTTACATAAAGGCAATCTTACAATAAGGAAAACAGGTGGGAAAAAGTCAAAAGAGGTTGAATAGACTAAATATCTTATTATGTTATTATCATTTACAAAAACAAAGTAACACTAACACTATTCCTTTCCATATTCCCTGGGCCTTTTAAGTAAAACTGTAAATATGCTAAATTAAGTCATCGACTGACAGCACAGTCAGAGCTCAAAGAAAGGAAACGAGACAGGAAGAATCACAGTGGAAAGAACAACTCATATTGAGTTTTAGAACATGCTTGTGAAATCCATGACATAAATAATCCTACAACTGTATCATCGGTCCATGACAAAGAAATGCCTAAACAAAGTAGGCCCATGTTTCAGTCCCTTATATCAATACATTTTCTAAAACTGTGTGGCTCTACAGTCTATTGAACCATAAGGGTGAACTCCTACACCCAAAATAAATCTTTAGCTGTTTAAAAACATATAATACTACATAGGCTTTTGTGTGCATTTAACATACAGTAGCCCAGGTATTGTAAACTTGAGGGCCTGTATGAGTAAATCCAAGCCTATATGTTCTAAATACATAGACTGTATGGTTTTAAACCAAATCCACAAACACACATCACTCTTTGGAAAACAAATAAATACATGCTTAATGAACTAATGAAACATAGTATACCAGAAGCAGTGTACTTACGGTAAAATGAAGAGTTGAATGTGACAAGTGAGTAGATTTTTTGCAGCAGCTTCGTAGAGAAATGGGTTGGGTGTATTGCGTGTCTGTTCAGTTTTGTGCACTCTTGTGGTCTTTTAGCAGTGGCCCCAAAAAAGAGGAAACGCTGTCAACATATGGGCTGGTCTAGTTTAGATGTTTGAGCCAATAACAGCAATACTATACAATAATAATCTTAATATAATAATCCACTAATCCTTGGATAACACATTTAAGAAAGAAGACAAATGTACAATCTATGCTTAGTCTTGTTTTATTTTAGTTTGTATTGATATCCCTTGTGTATTTTTTACAATGATATTTGAAAACACTGATTGAAATAAAGATTTGTTAAACATTTAAATTCTGCAAAAGTTAAATTGCTGAATTGCTGAGGTGAACACATAGACTGTCTATGGGGACGAACCCTATTCCCAGGTTGCTCCTCAAATGTTATGGCAAAATATCCAATCAAACCATAGTAATATGCCATAGATGCCTACATGTATAGACTACATTGAATAAAATATGCTCTCCAATAATGGTCAGTTTTATTTATTTATTTATTTATTTAAATAGGTCTAATAATTGTAAAGTGCTTTATTAATGGTGCATTAACCTTTCTGGTAAACAGAGGAACGCTGCCTGCTATTCTCACTGATTCATTTGTTTTGCTTTTCCTGGAATTTCCTGGGTTTGGCATTAAATATCTAGGCTCTCTTGTATTTATTCAGTTACAGGTGCTTAGACCGTTTTTGTCACGGTGAGGGGCTCTTCTCTAAGCAGATTTGATCTGTAAACTGATAAGATCTCCATGGAGAGAAGATGGCGGACTCTCCATCGCAAAAGTTAGATAATGCACCTTTAAATATATTGCACTTTGAAACTGGAGTTTGAGGCATAGGTAGATACTTTCGCCTTACAGCGAATAGCTAAAGCCATTTGGCCGAAATTGCTTTCCGTCCAAAACCCGGAAGTAATCCACCACCGGTCTTGGGGATCTGGCGTGACATTCACTAAACCCGTGAGCTGACATCTAGACGGGGTGCTGTGTAAATACGAACAAACGTAAGGACACGGTGTGGAAAAGTAACTGGAAGATGAGAGTCCTCAAAGCTAGCCTTGCGTTGGCGAGTCGTCATCTTTCAGCTAAACAGAGCGCCACTCTGAAAAAGGTAACGTGATATTAGTGAATCTTTCGTAAGATTAGATCCTGAGCCTCTGGCCATGCTAGTCACTATAATGTCACCGACCTCTGTCTCATATTCTCTACTAAATGATACTTCACAGGTTCTCATCATCAACTATCGGTCTTGTTCATCTGGTGTATTTTGCAATGAGAAAATAAGAAATATTGGGATTTCCGCGCACATTGATTCTGGAAAGACCACACTTACAGAGCGTGTCCTTTATTACACTGGCAGAATAGCAGAGATTCATGAGGTGAGACTCTTTTTATCCTATATTGTGAGTGCATGGAGCAGTCTGTGAAGGAAACTGTTTATTTTCTTTAGGTCAAAGGTAAAGATGGTGTTGGTGCCACTATGGACTCAATGGAACTGGAGAGACAGAGAGGCATCACAATACAATCAGCTGCTACATACACAATGTGGAATGGTCACAACATCAACATAATTGACACACCAGGTACCTAAATACTAAAGCTGTTACAAGTACAGACTCTAGAAGTAAGGCTTGTAGTAACCTGACTAATAAAAAAAGAAAGTCATAACAAAATCATATTTTCTGAACTTGTACAGTTAATATAGATGGAATTGTGATTTTCTACATATACATTGATCTTGCCAGATTTAAATGTTGAAATATTTTGTTTCAAGGTCATGTTGACTTTACCATTGAGGTAGAGCGAGCTCTGCGGGTGCTGGATGGAGCTGTGTTGGTTTTGTGTGCTGTCGGAGGAGTGCAGTGTCAGACCATGACAGTCAACAGACAGATGAAACGCTATAATGTCCCATTCCTCACATTTATTAACAAGCTTGACCGAATGGGTGCCAATCCATATCGAGCCCTACAACAGCTAAGGTACATGGAAGAAACAAAGTTGTAATGTATAAAAAGCAATTTTCTGCATCGTGAAGTCTTTTTTTTTTCATCCCAGGACTAAGTTGAATCACAACGCTGCTTTTATAAACATCCCCATTGGTCTTGAGGGAAACATGAAGGGTATCATTGACCTAATTGAGGAGCGAAGCATGTATTTTGATGGACCTTTTGGGTGAGCACTGATCTTGGAATAATCCAAAAGATTCTTCTGATTTTCAGAAATTTTTGTCATTTTTAATGCTTTCCACAGCCAAATTATCCGTTATGATGAAATTCCTGCTGATTTTCGTGTTGAGGCTGAGGAGCGACGGCAGGAACTAGTGGAATGTGTGGCCAATGCTGATGAAATCTTGGGAGAAATGTTTCTTGAAGAACAGACACCAACTCACAATGACTTAAAGGTTTGTGTTAGTGTTAGTATGTGTCTTCATAATTCTAGTTTTGCATGTCATTAACAGTCTATTTTTGAAGATGTCTGCCAGAATGATTCAGATCAAGTTTGTATTGCATGCATGTATACATTGCTGCTCAGTTTGGCTTAAATCAAAACACTATCCTTACTATCCTGTAGGCAGCCATACGCAGGGCCACTGTACAGCGCCTTTTCTCCCCAGTGCTTGTGGGAACAGCACTAAAGAACAAAGGTGTACAACCTCTATTAGATGCCGTGTTAGATTATCTGCCCAATCCAACTGAAGTAAAAAACTATGCAATACTCAATGATGAGTAAGTATTACGAGTTCAGTGTTGCTATGACATTGTTGTTGACAATCTTTAGAAATATTGTTTTGTACACACATTTTTTGTTTTGTTTCAGAGATTCAAGTGAAAAATCTAAAGTTTTAATGGACCCTGCAAGAGACCCTGCCAATGCCTTTGTGGGTCTGGCTTTTAAACTTGAGGTAACATAGTCACAGTTACTCTTTGAATTATTTCTATATTTTTTTTTTTTATTAATAGTTGCATTTTTGTTTGTTTTTCATTTAGGCCGGACGGTTTGGCCAGCTAACTTATGTGCGTGTGTATCAAGGCTGTTTGAAGAAGGGAGAATACATCTACAACACACGCACCAGCAAAAGGGTCAGAGTGCAGCGATTAGTGCGACTACATGCTGACCAGATGGAGGTGAGAACTAAAAACTGTGAATCTAGTCAAAATACATTTTTCATAACAAAGCATATTTGGGTTCCTCTTTTGTGATTTGTCAAGCATACATAAAAGTGTTCACATCACTTTCCACATGTCTCATCTTTCCAACCACATGTAACGTCATGATAAGTGGTGGGCTGTATGTCAAAAATGTCTATGAATATTTGCTTGAGCATAGATGACTTTAAATTTTACCATGAACACCAAGTAGCTTTGTATTCTTTTAAGAGGTAACTATAACTATTTCCTTCTTCTGAGAGATTCTGAGAGAGATTTAGGATTATTAAATAAATACAGGGATCATTTGGCGAAATCCTTTGTATTCATTAATTTCTTTTTGTAGGATGTTGATGAAGTCTATGCAGGTGATATTTGTGCTCTTTTTGGGATTGACTGTGCAAGCGGAGACACTTTCACATCCAAGACCAGTGCCAATCTTTCAATGGTAAAAGCTTCCTTTAGTCTTAAAAGAAATATATTTTAGAATTATTTTATAGATGTTGGTATTTTTTAGCTTTTGTCTTTTCCATGCAATTTATTAATGCACATTTATTTCCCAACAGGAATCAATTCATGTCCCAGAGCCTGTTATCTCTATGGCAATGAAACCAGTCAACAAGGTATAGTCCTTTATTTGAACCATTTTTTAAACCAACAGCAAAAAGGTTTCATAGTTACATCTTCTACACTCTGTAATAGAATGACCTGGATAAATTCTCCAAAGGCATTAACCGTTTCACCAGAGAAGATCCTACATTTAGAGTGCATTTCGATACAGAGAGCAAAGAGACTATTATTTCAGGCATGGGGGAGCTGCATTTAGAAATCTACTCACAGGTAATCTTAACACTTTTGTTGCATTTAAACCAATTTGCCTCCAGCAATCTGATGACAGATTTTCTGTTTCAGAGAATGGAACGGGAATACAATTGTCCGTGTGCGATGGGGAAGCCTAAAGTTGCATTCAGAGAGACAATCACCAGCCCTGTGACGTAAGTACATTTCTTCTCGCTCAGTGTTAACTGTCATTTGCTAATATATGTGATATGATGTCCAACACAGCCAAGACATCCATATTAATCATCAAACACAGAATAATTTTGCCACAAGTTCATTCTGTATTTGGTGGCTTTTTACATTCATGACAGTGGGGCATTTTTTCCATCTGTTGTACTTTAACTCCCTCCAGAGGCGACCAGCTGATCTGCAATTTCCAACGAATTATTTCCTACAAAAGATTCGGCACATGACAATCGAAGAAAAAAAAATTACAGGAATAAATATAGGGAAAAAAAACTTAGTTGATTACCTGTGACACCATATCATGAAGTAGTATCAAGTAGTCAAATTTCAGCTCATCTGTGTCGGTGGCCTACACGAGACAACATAAAATATGCATAGTAAGAGTTAACCAACAACCACAAATGAATAAATATTTTGTAATGATAATTATGTATTATTACATACAAATGAACACAAAAGTACAGTTTAATGTAATGAAACTGACATACCAAGTTGTGTGACATTGCCAACCTGAGCCATGTTATAGAGTGTATTTTCAGTGGATTCCATCAGCATGATGAAACTGGACGCCACAATTCCCAGGTGCCAAAGAGGCTTCATGTCTGGCTCTATGTGACCGTAACTATCTAGTGAGGAAAGCAGACAGTTCAATATGACAGTACAGTAGCACTTAATTTGGTTGTCCAGACATTATACAAAGCATACATGCATACCAGGCAAGCTCTGTGCCATCAGCATGCTCTCCCTTGTCTTCAGTTTTTCATATAATGCTTCATCATCTTTTATTGTATTAAGTGTTCCAAGCTCCTCACATGACACACTGACTTCAGATACTCCTTGTCTTTCTCCCCTTGGAAATAACACCTCAGCAGAGCATTTGTGGGTGCTCTGAAAAAAGAAAGCACATGCACAGGATAAAATGAACAACTACTACATACTGAAAGGGGGTTAGGTCAGTCATGTAATGTACCAATAGTATGAAGTTTGTCAAAGGTGTTGTCTAAACCATGTGACCATGGTAATAAATGAGTCAGTGTTGCACCACCATGACAAAGATACAACACAACGCTATGTCTCTTTAGGTGATGCTTTAAAACGTGACATACCAGGTCTAAACATTTTATTCTTAAGTTCTCAACTTTCTATTTATTTAGTTTATTGTAATATTTATAAATGCTGCTGAATTAATGTTAGTTCGGCTCTTGAAAAGAAAAAAATAAAATTAATTATTTTAGTTTAAGTGTGCTGAAATTAAACTGCACAAAAATACTTACATTACTGATTATTTCTTGAACTGAGATCTCCAACTGATACTTTCTTCCAACATTGTTCATATCCTAAAATATGAAGTCAAATGTAAGTCAGATCATTTTGTATGCATACATTTAGTTAGGTATATATAGAGCCCCTTACCTCTGCATTTCCACTGTGGACCTTCTTGACCATAAACACTTTAAATGGGGAGCCATAGCGGGTGTTGATGTAGTGTTGGACTGCCCTGGCGGCCCTCTGTGCTGGGTAGTGATTAGGGTTCAGCTCTCCAGTCTCCATCACCTCCTCCACTGCCTCTGTCTCCACAATACTCTGTTGAATAAAAAGGTGTATTAAACGTGGACCATTACAAAGCCTTCAGGTGGATTGGACTTTGACCATAAGGAAGGTACTACATATAGAAAGTGCTGTAGGTTGGTATTGATTAGAAACTAGACCCAAACGTTAATAAATTATTACAATTAATAAATATAACCAAACATTATAAAAACACAAAACTGGTGTTACTTTAAAGTATCTTAACCTGGTCTTGTTTAATGGAAACCTCCCCAGCCTTCTTCTGTCAGCTGCTACTTACGCATGGGGAAACCACTCGCTTCCCACTTCCTAGACTTGAGGCCCTGCCCATTTTTAAAGAGACATGTACTTTATAACTGAATGTGGTTATTAGTGGTTTACTTTACATTTCTGACCTGGGAATCAATTTGAATGTGTCCTTTGTCATTGTCTGTAGGTTTGACTTCACCCATAAAAAGCAGACTGGCGGCTCGGGGCAGTATGGTAAAGTTATTGGGGTTCTTGAACCTTTGGAATCTGAACATTTCACCAAGCTGGAGTTTGAGGATCAGACAGTTGGAACAAATGTGCCAAAGCAGTTTATTCCTGCTGTGGAGAAGGTAGATCACTGAAGTTGTTATTGTTGTTGTTATTATTATGTGGAACAGCCTTTACACTAACCCTCATTCTAACACAGGGTTTCAGAGACTCATGTGAAAAAGGACCTCTGAGTGGACATAAAATCTCTGGAGTACGGTTTATCTTGGAGGATGGAGCCCACCACATGGTTGATTCCAATGAGATATCCTTTATTCGTGCCGGAGAAGGGGCTTTAAAACAAGGTACAGGGGACTACTGTTGTATTTTTGTTTCTAACTTTGCCTAGTTGTAGATGGGCAAAATTGTGTTGTTATTGTCCTACAGCAATGGAGAAGGCTAATTCAATCATTCTGGAGCCCATCATGGCAGTAGAAATAGTAGCTCCGCAAGAGTTTCAGGGTGCTGTCATCTCTGGAATTAACCGGCGCCATGGGGTCATTACAGGACAGGACGGCACAGAAGGATACTTCACTTTGTATGCTGATGTATGTTCAGTTTAATTTGTTTATTTACATATTCGCTGATTGACAAGTTAATGGTTGTTAAATGTTTTTCTCAGGTTCCTCTTAATGATATGTTTGGTTATTCAACTGAACTTCGCTCTTGTACTGAGGTATGGATCTACGTACAACTACAACAAAGATTTATTTTATTGTGTAATACATTTTTACATTTTATTCTTTTTAGGGTAAAGGAGAATACACCATGGAATACAGTCGGTACCAGCCCTGTTTACCAGGAACACAAGAAGAACTTATCCACAAATACTTAGAGGCTACAGGTCAGCTCCCTGTGAAAAAGAACAAATGGAAGAACTGAAGAAACCTTGGTCAAACATTTTGGACTGTAAATTCTAATTTATTGTGTTTTCATAATTTCTGTAAGTTGTTTTTAGCTTTAGATAAAAGAACCTCAGCTCACTGCCCCCATAAAAACATAAACTACAATGTATTGGTTATATTACAGCTCCACTCACACATTCTAATGACAATATATACACCTTAATATTAGTCATGGAAAACCTGGGCATAATGGCTTTTGTACTATGTACAACATATTTTTATGACTGTAACAAATACATGTAATTTTACCCTAAATGTTTTTTTTTATGTTGAAATTATAACTAAATGTTCTACCATAATCCTGTTGCACAAAAGTACATTTTAAACATTTTTGCTGCATTTTTGCTGTGAAGAAGAAAAGTTAAATGAAAAGAAGTTCTTAAAATCTTGTCTGACCTTTACTGTGGCCGGAGAAAAATTGTTGTCCATTACGTCTTCAGGCTTTTGCATAGGACTGGCATTTCCCATTGTCCATGTTAAGAGTGCCAATGACATTATGGTTTGTACACTCATGTTTTATTAGAAAACTGTATTTAAAAGTAACAGACTAAATGCAGAATGAAGAGAGGGAAACAGTCCTTCCTCCAGTGTAGAGTTGTGCAATAGAAGGGGGGATCGGAAAAACAAGGAGACTGAGTACATCCTGCTGTCCTTCTGGGACTTATTTATCTTATTTATACAAACTGCAAATACTTCCCTAGCTCACTTTGGTGAACAAAAGAAGAAACTAAAAATGTATGCGGCAACATGTTCCAACAATTCGGAGTCGAACATTCATTAAAAAATAGTGCACATTTCTCTCATTTTGCCTTTTCTCCTCTTGGGCATATCTTCCAACTGTCCTCCTATTTTATGTTTGTGTTTTTTGCTGGTTGGACCTTGCTGAATGCTGTGCGGTATATTATCTATGAGCTCATACAGAGTAAAGATGCTGAAACAGATCTGATCATAAGCTGTGCTTGTGCCACACTCAAACAGACAGGCAAAGGCCACTGCAGGTGGAGCTTCAGGAGATGGTGAAAGCTCCATGTAGGCCAGGTCTGAGTAGGCACTGGGACCATCATAAATGACCCAGGGGCCGCTCCAACTGTCCGGGTCACGAGGAAACAGGCTCAAGAAAACACCCAAGTCTTTCCGAGTTGTGTTCCATGTGGGGTGGCAGTACACTACCCAGGTGGGGTTCAGAAAATTTGAAGGACCAATACTTAAAAGTGAATCTGTGGCTTCTGACGACTGGCTGTTTGCTAAGAGATTGGTTTGATCTGTACAGTCATGCCCCCAGTATTTCAAGTGGTGGTGAGTGTGGTGACTAAAATCATTGCTGAAACAATTATTCAGGTGTAAAGGGGCTGGAAACCCCACTACGCTCCCTTGACAGCCATTTCGAGGCTCTACTAGACGTGGGACCAGTTGCCCCTCTTGAAACACAGCCCCATCGTCCATACTGACAGACTGCACCCTGTAACCAAGAGGACTGCGAGCGTTGCAGTACAATATGTTTGTGCCTTCTTCTTCATCCACAGACACTACCTGACACTCCACGCTCTCTGGTCCTGGCACAGCCTCCCCAAAGTGCCACGTTCGCCCATGGGTGTCACTATGGAAACAAAATGCATGGGGTGTAGTCTGGCAGAGCTGTCCAAAGCACTCTTTGCATTCAATAAAGTAAGCATAGGCAGGAATCAGTAGGCGTCCGGACTTCAGCTGAATGCCATGACCTGGGCCAAGTGCAAAGGTGGCCCACTCTGTAACAAAATGAATGCAAATTATTAACAAGGTAACAATATATTATTTTATTATTATTTACAGTTAGAGTATGGTTGAACAAACCAAAAATCACTTTTTTCAATCATTTTAAAATTATTTTTCTAACCTTTAATGGTTTCTCCTATCACTGTTTGTGTAAGGTCAGTGACTGGGCTCCAAGTGTTGCCGTTGTCTGTGCTGGAGATGTAGCAGAGGCGTGTTACATTTTTACCCGTTATCAGCTGATGGGCCTCTGACGTGTGGCCCAACACAGCGATGAAGAACAGAAAGACTGTCCCAGTGAACTCATCCTGCACTGGGCAAGGATTCATAGACCTATGACCAGGTAAGAAAGCTGTGCCCAAAACATGCATGTCCTCCCACTGAAAAACACAAAGAACATGAATGTAATCACCAGTGTTAACTGGACCTATTGTTTTTACAGTACACAAGCATTTAAAAAAGGTCTCCCTGTATACATCTTCAAACATTATTTTATGTGATATTTTCTGAAAATATTTTATTGAAGACTACTGTATTTATTTTAATTTAATTTCTTGGTTGGAAATTGTGCCATAACATTAGGGAACTACTGTTCTCTTGCAAAACTCCTCTAATGCACATAGTATCTGATAAATACAAATACAAGAAAATACCTATTTTCTTGAAATCATGTTTAAAGTATGAAAAAAATGTGTTTCTTACATGTAAATTGTACTTAACTTTTGGATATAATTCTCCCTGGTGTGGTGTTATCAATATGTTTTAGAACTCTCTACTTCCTATAATTTTAACTTTTCTTTTCAAACTGCTTCTTGATTGTTTTGAAACTATAATCTGCATTTACAATAGTTATAATTCTACTAGATTAAGTCAAAATTAATGAATCATAAAAATCTGTCATATGCTGCACATAGAATCAAATATTTTTTTTACAATTACATGAGTTAAAAATGTCCTTTAGTTTGCATATAAACTAACTCGATAATTAGTATGGTGGTGGTTGGAGAGGTCAGTAGCCGTGGTTACAGAAAGTCCTTACCACCATGTCTTAATAAGGAGTGAATGAACTTGTTATTTGTCAAAACTAAGCAGTGGAGCCATGGGAGCAATAACAGTGTCATTAATTATTATATATTTCTGGGATTGTCTGAGTATTTCCTCCTTCTCTGAAAATATTAAACAGTATACTAAAAAAAGAAAAAGTAAAGCCAAACCTCCACATAATTCCTGTGAAAAATGCCTTTCCTCATGACAAGCAGATGAGCCTGGGAGTCTGAGGGGCTGAGTCTCTCTTCACAGAAAGCCAAGAGGGTTTTGGACTGTGGCAGGTAGAGCAATGCAGGGATCCTGTATGTAACTCCATTGGGCTCCTTGTGGAAAAGGACAGATCTTGCTGGATAGTATGGAGACTTCATGTTATTAGAAGAACTGCAATTGTTCTTCACGAGCCCGGCCTGAGTAGATCTTACACTGTGCAGCACAAAATGTACAAAAACATGAATATCATTTAAAACTTCAAATTTATAAAAGTGAAGTTTGAATATTATCAGTAAAATGTATAATAAAAATAAATATGCAGTGATGTATTCCTCAAAGCTCTGCCAACTATTGCATTTTCAACTGTGTAACATTGAAGACTCTTACATAACCACGAACTGTTAGGACATTTCCTGACTAGTTAACACTAACCAGTTTTTGCAACTTCAGTCTCACATACATACAGCGGCTTCTATTTAATTCTCTTATTATGAGATGTACAAGAAGACTAAAAGTACTTACATTAGATCTGAAGCTGTCAGAACATACAGAACATGTCAGCACTGATGTGCGTTATTTTCTTGTTTAAACGTGTGTGTGCTTTCTGAGTAATTTGTGTGTGTTTTGGGACTGAGGCCTCTCCTCTGTACCCTATTCAGTGGAGCAGGAGCGCTGTTCATTGACCCAGAAAGGGCCACACTCATCAGATCTACAGCTTTGGATGAGTCAGCAAGAGCAGCCTTTGTAGAGGGAGGGTGGCTGAGGACATGATTTAATGAGCTGACCCACTGAGAATATGACCTTTGTTTTGTGTAATTGTCTACACTGGTTCAACACTGATTCTAATTCCACAATGCTGCTCCCCCTCCTTTAAGAGGCTTCTTCCATTTAAGATCAGAGTAGACACTAGAGCATGTCACTCATCTGTAAATTCTGATCTGACCATTCCCTTTAAACGTACTGTGATGGAACAGTCAGCTTACTCATACACACACTCTCATAGGCTAAAGCAGTGGCTTCTGAGCAGCAGGCGTGTCAGCATTAGGCTTCATCAAACGCTTAAACATCCTATGATTATACTTTTGATGTGTTGACGTAATTGTTTTGCGTTTGACTTATGACATTTGTTTTGATGGTAATGTTGTTGATAATTTTAGAAGATA